GCGACATCTTGGTCAGCTTGTATTCGTGCACTAGGGGCGGGGGGTGTGGCAGCGGGGGGGGGGGGGGCAGGAGGGGGGGGGGGGGGGGGTCAGCAGGCATCTCAGAGGGGAGAGAGAGAGAGGGAGAGAGAGAGCAGAGGGGGCAGGGATGTGGGAACGGGGGAGAAAAGGAGCGGGGGGGGGGGGGGCGAGAGTGCTGGCACGAACCGGGTTCGCGGCTCGGCAATAGCCACCAGGAAATCGCATGCCTGCTGGTAGAGAGGGGAGAAGCTTTCCAGGAAGACCAGCGGCGCATTCTCGTCCGCCGAGTCGCAGGTCACCCAGAGCGGACGATCCTCCGGCGAAATGAGATTCGAATCTAGGGAGGTGGTCAGTCGCAAGATCAAGAGCAGGGAAAGGCAGCGGCGGTCAGACAAAACATGGCCCCCTAGATGGGCGGACGTACGGGCCGACGAGTCGGACTGTGCCTTCTGCGGGACTGGGGCGGCTTTGGTCGCCGAGGGGGGTGGGCCCGTGGCGGCGGCGGCGGCCAGCTTCACCAGGGTCGCCTTGTTGAGTTCCTGCTCGGACTTGACGAAGGTGTCGTCGAAGCGGACCCGCTTGGAGGGGGGAATGTCGGCTGCATGTAGCGAGGAGGGCGATGGTGGTTGAGGCCAAGCCGAGGAGGTCAATAACCGGCACACTGAGGGGGGGGGGGGGCGAGAGACCAGCGGCACAAGACAGGGCGCGCATGCAACGTACCAGTAGACATGGCTGCGTCGGATGTCTGCTGGAGGTGGAAAGGGTGGGAAGTGGTGGCCACTGGCCCCGGGGAGGCAGCGCCGCGATGGCGGTCGGTGGAGGGAAAGGGGATCTGGCTGGGAATGCGGACAGCAAAGCCAGGCGAAGGAGCTGCGAAGCGAGAGCGAACGGAGTATCGGTGATGGGACCGACAAAAGAGGCGGGGGGAGGAGAAGAAAAAAGGCGCGGGGGGGGGGGGGGGGGGTGAAGGGAAGATGCTAGATACCACCCCCGCCGGAGTCGAGAGCCGGGGCTGCAGGTTGCTGATAAATCCCCCCCCCCCCCGCCCCCGGAGACCACAGCCAGAGAGAAGAGAAAAGGTGCGGCAATGAACCCAGCCTTCGGGAGATCGTGCGCATGACCACTATTGTATTCACATGACCA